CGGGCGGGGGGGGTGGGGAAGGACAGAATAAGTCTGCTCCCTCTTCTATGTGATAACCCTTTAGATATTTTAAGAATGCTATCATATCCCCCTTTCAGATGTCTTTTTAGTAGGTTAAACACACCCTTCCTCGTAGGGCATAGGTTCCAGACTTTCACTATCTAGGATGCCTCCTCTGAACTTGCTCCAATTTATTGCTGTCCTTTTTGAACTGTGGTGCTTGAAACTGGACACAGTACTCTAAATGGGGTCTGACTAGGCAGAATCAAGTGGAACATTTACTTCCCACGAGCTGGGCGCTTCCCATTAATGCACCCCAAGCATTTGCCTTTTTAATAGCTACATCACATTGCTCATGTGTAAGTGGATGAAGTTGTCATAAGGATACTCAGTTCCTTTTCACATTTACAAGCAACAAGCCAGGGATCCTATACTTGTGCCTATCATCATCATGCCTAATATTTATATCTTTTATTTGGTATGGAAAGAAAAAATACTAAACCATTTTGCTTCATGCTCAGAGAGTGTGTGTGTTATACTATACATTAATGAATCATTCAGAGGAAGACATGTAAAATAATAAACATGATCATGCATCACAAAGAACATAACAAGGTGAAAGAGCGGACAGTGGCTGAGGGGATAAGAAATCAAGAAGACATACTATCTATCCTCTTCTCTCATTCTACCAAAGTTCTTTTAATATCTTGCTCAATTGAGACAAAACTCAACCAAATTATTATGTAGAACTCAGCATCCTACTCTCCCCCACCATTGTGACTAAAAAATTGTGGTAAAATGTTACTATGACTAGTTCTATTAATAATGTCTTCCTCCCTTCCCTTCTCTTTATTTTCTGTTCTGCTAGTGTTTTATATAATATGAAAAGTAAAAGCAAAGCAGTATTTCTGCAACCTCCCAAAGTACCAAATTGTTTAATAAACCAAGAGTTCCAGATTAAAGAAAGTTAAGGCATGTAAGACATTCATTCATTCATTCATTCATTCATTCATTCATTCATTCATTCATCCATTCATTC